GGGGGGCGAGAATGAGGGCCCCGCCCCCGAGGACAGCCGGGATTGGGGGAGCAGAGAGCCTGTCAGAGGAAGGGTGGGAGGAGGGAGGATGGAGGGAGGATGGAGTGTTGTCATGGCAACTGGCTCCCGGTAGCATTGGCTGCCAGGAGGGAGGGGAGCGTGGGGAGGGGGAGGGACAGGCAGTACCCGCAGACCCTTGCACGGGGGGCGCAGAGTCCCCAGTGTCTGGCCATGACACCACTGTGACATACCGCGGCACGGATATGGGTGCTGCACCCCAAGACGCAGATGTCAAGCGCACGCAGCCCACACAGAGCTGACACATGTCGCAGGGACCCTCAAAGACAAGCACATCACATACAAAGGTGGACAGCCATCAGCAGATGGGGACATGTACACGTCACACACAAAGACGCAGGGACAGGCCTTACCGAAAACACACAGGCAGGGTGCACCGGGCCACACAGGGTCGTCAAAGCCTCACAAAGACCCTCACATGCCACAGACAAAGTCAGCCCCAGAAGCCACAGATAGACACCAGACAAAGATCTGCCCGGACCCCAGTGACACGCTGAGGCAGTCACAGGCAAACGGGTGACAAAGAACGCCCAGAGATGCAAGTGTTACATACATGCACATCACACAGGTGTACAGGGACATCTCTGCAGAGAGACACACAGACAAGTGTCACATACGGGGACACATGCGTGCAGACAGGCACATCATACATGCGAGGGCACAGAACACAGCACATACGTGTGTATGGTCACAGAGAAGACACGCATGACTCACACTTCGCTGCCGGGATAGACCCATCGCATAGGTAGATGCCCACAGACACACACAAGCCACACAACTCATACAAAATTACACAAATATATGACCCTCACTCAGGCAGACACACTGCACACAAATATACCCAATCACACAAACTACACATAAATGCACAGGCACACACGCACGAAACGCAGACCTGGAACAACACGGACCTAATAGGCCGGGACAATGCATTGCAAATACACAATACACACTTCACACAAGGTTACCACGGCTGCGGAGACTCCTTCCTCCGCCAGCCACCCTGCACGTACGTAAGCACACAGCGGCGCGCACGACACACCGAGAACACACAGACAGACAGAACCAGGAACCTCACAGACGTTGCACAACCACAACACTTGCCTCGTAACAAAAGATACACGATCACCGTTTATTTTATTTATTTATTCTTCTGAGTGTTTGCTGTGCGCCAGGCGTTCTCAGCGCTTTACACTTTTTACCTTTTGATCTTCCTCACAGCCCTCAGAGTCGGGTGCTTTGACCAAGTCCCCTATACAGCGAGGAAACTGAGGCACAGCCAGGACGGTCACCTGCTCCAAGGCACACAGCCGGGAAGGAGCAGAACTGGGACTGGAACCCGGGCAGGGACAGCGACACATCAGACACGGGGACACACGGGCGAGCGGGCGTGCCAGGCGGCCGTCTCGGGGTCCCCCCCCC